AAATATATAATATAATATAATTAATTAATATAATTTAATATAATTAGTATAATTTTTAGTATTTCATGGCAGAGAAATACTTTGTTTACCTTAATTTTCCTGCAGTGTTAGTACTAGTAGTGTTACCTCCTTGCGTACTCTAAACAATCCCTTCATGTTCTTTGCAGTAAATATGCATACATAAGGAAAAAAAATTAAATGCTTACAAATTTGATGTATTAGGACATCATCACCTAATTCAGAAATGTTTTGATACCACTCATAGGTGGTACTCAAGTGCATCCCATATCACACTTGCAGAACTAATTCAGGCTCTTACTTGGATGGTTTGGATGGTATCTGTACCCACACAACTTTGAACATGAGTTTTGAGTTGCATTCACTCTGAGTCAGGTGACTTTCAAAATACTTTAGACTTCTTTTTTAAACTCTTCTTTTGGCAGAACGTGCAATATATTGGCTTGAAAGGAGGATGTAAATAGAATTACTTGGGAGTATGATTCTGAAAGCTTAGATGTGTTGATGGATCTGGGTTGATCTTGGATCTGGCTGTTTAGACTTGCATGGTGCTTGTCAAGTTAATTGTGCAGAGACAATTGCAGCACTCTGATAATGAGCAAAAACTCTTGATCTGCCTGTGCAAATTATTTTTATTTCAGTCGAGGGCTATGGGCACATGAGAAGAGTGATGTGGTCACTACCTCATGAGTCAGTACTTCTTATATGTGAACTCCTAGTCCACTCTAGTTGCAACATACCGCTGCTAAGAATTACACTAACAAGGTTGTCTAAACTAACGTTTTATTTCTCAGTTGGGAACAACTGTTGGTATTTTTATTGTCAGTTACTGTCACTCTGGTGAAATAACCTGAGGTGCACTAATTCACTTTTTGATCCCGTGTTTATATCCCCAGATTTGGATACTGTGTTAGTATGATGATTTGATTTCGTCAATACTCATGTAAATATTTCCCCCGGCTCTTTCAGAAGTACTACTATACATATCCTAATGCCCAAAGAAAATCAGGTTCAGCTAGATTCAATACTGGGAATTTTTTTCGGGAAGATTAGCAACATGGAAATCAGAGCTAAGACAGTGGTTTCTTTCAGGTGTTTTAGCCTAACATAGAGCTGAAAAATGTTGCTCAATGGATTCTGTAGTGTCTTTCTGATGGATTGTTCTTGCTTCTCATTGGTTGCTGCCTGCCTCCATTTCAGACAAATACATTCTTTGCACTTAAACTCCATTTGCAGTTTTAAATTGCTCTCACGTTATGCTCTCTGATATCAGAGATAATGTGGCCCAGTGTTTGAACAGTGATCCTGTTTTCAGTTCATCTGCTAAGATCGGATATATGAATTCTTTCTTCACCTCCTCCCTTTCTCATTCACACATTAAGATTGATTTTAGGGTTGAAATACTTGGCACAGTGGAGACTCAAGGTTGGTCTCTAGGGAGCAAAGTAATTTATTGTTATTTCTAACACTATATTATGTTCATGTTCTTTACAATGCAGCCGTCGTATTTGGAAGAAATTCAACAGCTCTTAAATCGCACAAGATACTGCATTTATTTGAGAGAGACTTTTTATTTTTGGTAGTAGTAGATTCCTGGTAGTTTCAGCCAAAGTTGTGTGTAACTGCTTTCTCACACCATGCTTTCTTCAATCTAAAACAGACCTGGTTTTGAATTCTTTCTGAAGAAACAATCTTTATGTGCTTGCAGTGTGCCAAAGGCAGTGATGCATTTTCTAGTGAACCACGTGAAAGACACTCTTCAGAGTGAGCTGGTAGGCCAGCTGTATAAATCCTTGTTGTTGGATGACCTTCTGACGGAATCCGAGGACATGGCGCAGCGCAGAAAAGAGGCAGCTGACATGCTAAAGGTATTTAAAAGATCAGAGCTCATGGGAGTAGTTGATTAAGTTGAAACCATGTAAATGTAAGATTTTTTTTTTTTGAAGGCTTGCCTTCCTTTTTTATTTGCTGCTTTTGAAGAGTATGCCAGTGTGAGTTCTCTCTGCTAGAGGAATTAAAAGCAATATGTGACCAGAAAGTATTATGTAGATTGAGTATATGGAAGAGGTGACTAAAACTGTATTTTAGGTGTAAAGTAGCAGCTCTAATCTAGTGTTACTTTCAATTAAACATTTGGTTTTAATAATTTGCTTTTATTTAACCGTATAGCGTTCAGCAGTTCTCTGTTGAGGGATTAAGCTTACTGTGTTGAAGTGTTACAGTGTTTAAGTGCCATTCATGTGTATGCTTCTCACAGGGCCTTCTGCCCAATGTCTGGTGTGTCTAGGCTGTACTCCATCATATAACAGTGGGAACGTTGGGACTCACTCACGATGACCCCTGTGTACATCTGTACGACAGTGCGTTCGTGACATGTCCGTGTTAGAGAACTCTTCATTTCTTCATTGTGCAGTTATGTGGTGTCTGAGGGTCTGCATCAGCTGCGTCAGAAATACACTGCTTTGCACTGATCTGTGCAGAAAAGGGTCCCTCTGCCAGTTCAGCTCCCTGAAGCAGCAGCAAGAGGTGCTTCTCTCTTGTATGCAGAGTGGTCAGACAGTGCATTTTCAGAGACTGGATACCCTGAGATACCACTTGTCCAAGACCACCTGCAGCAAGTGTACTCTTTGCTGCTGTATGATCAACATTTGAGTGAAGGGAACTGTCTGTTAACAGTCTTTTAAACTGCACACTTTATAGGGCCAAACTCATAGCTTGGATTTCTCCAAATTGATGTAATACTTGTAAATTGTGTTAGTATAATTGGTATTCTGAGTTTTTAAATGTGTGAAGTTTAGCAGGCCAGGCTGTAGTGAATACATCAGAATGGTAAAAATAATACCAAATATAGGTGCAGTTTCTCTTTTAGTTTGAGGAAGGTTTAAAGCATTAAAACTGTGGTGAAAAAGTCTGCCCTTCTTGAGAATTTTATTTATAAATACAAAACGTTAAGACAAACAGCGGTTAATAGGAACCCTGAGTATGTAAAAGTTGCTCAAAATGACGACAATGAGCTGAACTTCCAATTAGATGCAAAAAGAGTTTTCAATTAATTTTCAATTCTTATCCCTCTAGAGAAATGATTTAATGACACCTATGCTAAGTTTTATCATGTCCTTTTGCTTTGCAGTATTTTCTACTTATGTAGTCTTTTGCAGGTGGAAGGCTTCAGAGTTCATGTTGCAGGTTGTTACCACTTATTTCCTAATGAAAACGATTAGCTTTAATTTGATTTTTAATATTACACTTTCTAGACTACTGCTGTTATCTCTGAGAAATTTCTTCAGAAAAACTAAGTAATTTTGACTTTTCTGACTTTTTGTGTGCAGGCCCTGCAGCGAGCCAGTCAGATCATTGCAGAGATTCGTGAGACACATCTTTGGTGAAGACTGTACCAGCCACACTATTTATATGCATTGGAGGTTACACTGACTTGAAGATTACTAGGCATTGTATACGGAGTAGAATTTTTATTTATGAACTCTTATCTGTGTACTGCAACTGTGTAAATCTGCTCATGTAAAGACAGTTGGTTTGATTCGCAAACAGAAAAATATGCTGTATTTTGCAAAATAAGTCGTATTTAATCCACATAATAAATGACTCTAGATGTTTCCTTACCAGTTTCTGGTGCAAATTAAAGCAGACCAAGTCTACTGTCTCTGTGACAGTCTCATTTGAACTTGGGTCAAAATATTAAAAGTTCCAGTGCCTGACTTGCTAAACAGGTTGCCTGTGGTTCAGATGGATGGTGTAGTCTTGTGGCATAGTTTTAAGCTGCTTTTACAATAGAAGTTTAAATACTGTGAAGAGAAGAGAGCACCGAGTATTTTCTTTCATGAATATATTGCATGCATTATGACAGATGGAGGTATCAATTTTATAGCACAGTAGAGATGTCTACCGTATTACTGTGTATGTGTCCCCATTTTTTTCCCCCAAATGTTAAAACTGCAGACAAAACTTTGAACTTAATTTAAAGGAGTATCATGTAGGAAGAATTAGCCTGGAGCTTGCGAACAATAACAGCCTACTAAAAGTGGGTGCAAAGTTATTCATGTGCACTGGAGCTTGTGTATGAATGTTGGGGATTATAATGAGGTACAAGAACCTCTTCTCCTTCCTCCCCCCTGGGACCAAGCCCCTGGACCATCCAGAAGGAAAGTTGTTCTGGCAGAATTGAAAAATAAAAACAGATTTCAAAACTGTAATGGGATAATAAGTGTTTCTTTTAAAAACTGATGAAGCTGGCCAGGGAGAAGGGGATCCCCACCACTTCTTTCAAATTTTGGAATGTATGACAGTATGAAAAAAGTCTGTGGGACTGGACTTTTTATACCAGAGATTACAGTTACTTTTGAGAAAATTTTACTGTGCTGTAAGTAGCTTTTTCTTTTCTATTTTGTTTAAGGACAATCCTAAAATTAAGGAATTTTAGGTTGGAAATTAAGTTGATGAGTTATTTTCTTCTGATTATAATTCATGCAGATAAATATTGATCACACTAGCCTTTAAAAAGTAATCATTTTAATTTTTATGAATAAAAATTTATTTAAATTCAAGCCAGCACACTTGCATGTACTTTTCAAGCAGCTTTACTTTTTTGTATAAAGTAAAAATGTTTACTATGGTGTTGCTGATATTTTATCTTTAACACAACTTGCATGAAAAATAGGACACTGCTGTTTAAAATCCATGGCTTGCTTTTTCAATACTGGGCCAATATAGTGATCAGTGATCAGTTCATCAGATAACAGAAGTGGGATTCCTTTTGTAAGGTGCTAAAGATCTAAGATTCAAAACCTGTTTGGACCTCAGTTTATGAGAAGTTCTGTTTAAATGTGTTTTTCTCATGATAATCTTCAGTTTGGCACCACTAGTATCAATAGGGGTCAAGTCTGACAGATGCGGCTGTTGGATACTTTATGCATGATCTGAAATAATTTGTGCAGAACACAGAAATTTGTTCTGTAGTTTTCAACAGCCTCAAAAGCCCCGACGTGTGCATTATGTGTAATGACTACCAGGGAAGTAGTTCTAACTTCTTGCATTGTATCCGGGATGGTAGTTCTCAATTGAAGCAAAGTGACTGTAGTGAAGTGCAA